GATGTTTCACAGCTTTTGTACTTTCCAGAACAATAAATATTCTTTATTCTAATGTCTGAACAGTGTGGTAACTATATTTTATCCTACTAGGCCTCATGCCTCGCTTAATGTTATGCTACATAGCAATTTGTGATCCGTCCTTAGCAATTTTCCAGCAGTGTATTTTAAGTAATTTTCTTAACTTATATATTACTTAAAAGTTACATATAAAAAATTTAATATACTTATCGTATTAATTTGTACAGTTTATAATTAAGATCGTATTGTAACTTTAGAGTCTCTCTCTCAAAGTGCATTTTTATTGCAGTAAATACATTATTGTTGTACAGGGGGGCGCGACAAAAATTATGATTGAAAATTGGGTCGCCGGTATTGAAAAAGTTTGAGAAACACTGATCTAAGCTTCTGTTTACAAAAAGCTTCACAAATCATTTTTTGACTTAAAAACTTGAGTCACGGTATCATATAATTAAAACTACAATAAGCAAGAAAAAATTACAGTTTAGAAAATAAACAAACATAAAACTGTGTGACACTAAAATGGAAATTATAGTATTAATTTAATACAAAACAATTAATACATTAATACATGGGAAATCTAATGTTATCATATTTGTGTTGCAAATCCAAAAATGAAATTTAGAAAGAACATTTTTTTACGACAACTTTTTTGAAAAACGAATGTAATTCCACCACAAAGAGTTAAAAACTATAAATAAATATATTAACAGTAAAATGTGCTAAAATACCCCCAAAAACTGCTCTTAACATTAATTTTCGCAAAGTTGACTTGACACGTCTGATGACATATCTTCATTTAGCTGAAAAATCGCTTAAAAATTGAATTTTAAAAAAATCTAAAGTGAATCTCGAAAAAAAAAACTCTTCGAAGTGTTCAGGATAATGACCTACAGCTTCTACATGCCAAGTTTCAGACTTCTGGGTTTCTTAGTTATACCGGTACAGCTGAGTGAGTGAGTGAAGATTAACGTCACACTGTTCAGCTGCACGAGGGCTTTTGGCGACGGACCACGTAATTTTGAACCATGGTCAAGTGACGTGGACGACACCTGAGCTGGCACCCCCTCTCCTAACTACCACACCACACCAACGGCAGGACGTTTTAGCTCTCGACAGATTTAGCGTGCATCGCTGCCCTACACGGCGGGTCTTTAGTGGCACTGGGATCGAACTCGTGACAAAGCCAGCCACGATCCGATGCCTATACCACTCGGCTACCGCGGCCACCCGGTACAGCTGAAACACACAAACTGTTTGTTTTATTAGTATACATATATGGACGATGTTGAATAAAAATACGTGTAATTCATTAATAGTTTGGTGCTTCGCAATTTAAATAGTCACATGATAAAATAATGTATGTACGTTTGTTTTCTATTGATTACACAGTGAAAACTAACTTCCAGGGAAAGACCCTAGGTACAGCAGCTGCTGGTCAAAAGAGAATCAAATCAGAGAAACAAACAAAAATAAAAGTCCAACAGCATATATAGAAAGAAAAATCTTTCATTGTGTCCCTGTAGCGCAATGAATAAAATTGAGCTTTTTTTGCAAACATAATATAACTTTAAGAGGGTAAAGCCATTGTGTGTGTGTGTGCGTGTGTGCAGAGCAGTGTACCCAAAATCTAAAAATATTTTTTAATGAGTGTTCATATTGCAATTTCGCTTCACAGAAAAGAATGATTTCACAAAAACATATATATGAATGCAAAAGAGAAAATTAACATGCTAAAAAGGTAAATAGAAGTGAAGGAATGAAAATTTAAATAAAAATTATAAGAGAAAAGTAATAACAGTTGTATTTTTTTTTTGCACGGGAACTATGAGAGAAATAATCTGAAATAGAGATAAATTAAAAGAAAAACATGTGTCTCATAAACCATTTCCCTAAAATATTATCATGAATAACATATATTAGGAAGCCTTCAACTGTACAAAAATAAAATTATTCCAACTAAAATTTTAGAAAAATAGATAAAATAAGCCTACATTGTAATAAAGCATAAAATTAATATTATAAGACGAAAGGATGATATTCTGTCAAACATCTATATTGCATTTAATATAAAATTTAGATGTAATACAGAAGAATTAAGCCCTAATTTTGAAGAAAATATTTAAGTATAAAAAATTTAAACATGGATAAAATAAACAAAAAAATATGAAGTAACCTAGAATATAGTATAAATTATAACATTATATAAATTACATCTTTCTTTTCATTTGAGATTACGTAAGACAGTGCTTCTCAAAGTTTCAATATTCGCGACCCAATATTAAATTATAATTTTCTCTCATCACGCCCCCCTCATACAATATCAATGTATTGAATTTAAAAATATTATACTCTGAGTGAGTGAGTGAGTTAATATTAACGTCGCACTGTTCAGCTACACGAGGGCTTTTGGCGACGGACCACGTAATTTTGAACCATGGTCAAGTGACGTGGACGACACCTGAGCTGGCACCCCCCTCTCCTAACTACCACACCACACCAACGGGAGGGACGTTTCAGCTCGACAGATTTAACGTGCATCGCTGCCCTACACGGCGGGTCTTTTTAGTGGTACTGGGATCGAACTCATGACATGCCTGCCATGGTTGGATACCTTAACCACTGGGCTACCGCAGCCCCATTATACTCTGAGAGAAAGAGAGAGAGAGATGCTAAAAATACGATACGACTTTAAGGAGACATGGTACGATTTACACTAAAATTTTTAATTTAAGAATTTTCAAAATTTTTTTGGTTGCCTTCAATGTGCGTATACTATGTAAAACAGGTTTTATACTCAAAATTTCGTAAAAGGCTAACCATTTAATTTTTTAAGGTAAAAATATAAATTTTGGGAAATGATTTTAAAATGCTATTCCTCCTACAAAAATTTACATACACGCATGAAATTTAGTTAACAAGTACATCAAACCATGTGTAACAAAAGTTGGTATGGGTTTTGCGATAACATCATTGGTATTCATGCAATACTTCTTTTTATGAATGCTTATTGAAAATTCCTTAGAAAAAGTATGAATTCTGAGTTCAAATATTTTTTAAAAAATAAGTATTGCTTTGATTCAAAAATGCATACCAACTTTTATTACATGTACTATTAGCAATAGGTAAAAAAATTCAAAGCATTAGGCACAATAGAAAAAATGCCTTAGCATTTTAAATGAAGACAAACCAGTTATTTTATCTTTCTGAGATAAGACCGTTTAAAGTTTTGATTTGCCATAGGAATGTGAATAAAAATTAACATAAAAGTTATAATATTTCTGTGTTTTTTAAGTTTAGAGATTTCAAATTATCTGAGGTTAAAGAAATATTTATGAAGAATAATTTAGGCTAAGAAAATTAGATTTGATTTTTTGACCGATTTTTGTCAATTGAATCGTACCGTGTCGCTTTAAACTCTTTAGTGCATCCGGCGTATATAAATGTCTCGCTCAGCCAAATCATTATTTTCTCTGACATATATATAAATTTTTCCGAAGAATGGTCTTTTTTGCGCACTACTATCCGTAAAATTTTCGAATGCAATAAAAGGACCTTGCCAATGATTGCGAAAAATTTACTTATTTCAGATTTTATCCCCCCCAATTATACGCGCGAAAACATGTGGAGAACGGTTGTCATTGGGGCGCTAATAGCATAACTTTTATTTGGCACTTAAAGGATATTTTATAAACCGTACAAATTATCAAGATACCAAATTATATATCCTTTTTGCATATAATTTTATACATGACAATCCCATGGGGGTCATTGATAAACGTTATTAAATTAGTAAAAAAATTAATTATAAAATATAGTGTAGCACTCATACATTTATTAAGTGTAATATATCAGTGTAAATGTGTCTTTTTATTTTTTATTGTGCATTTTGTTTGTTTACTTTCAGTAAATAAATTTTATTCAAACAATCTTCTGTTTTCGACTTTTCAATATGGTCGTCCCTCCCCCTTTGTAGAGTTGTCACGCCCCTCAAGGGGGCGCGCCCGACAGTTTGAGAAACGCTGACGTAAGAGGATAAAATACTTTGAATGTAAAAAAGGTTCGGAATAATCAAATAGATAAGCAAAACAAATGAGACTGTTGCCAAAACAACTAACTAAAAACCCAGTTGTTCAAAAAAAGAAATGGAAAAAATTACTTAAAAATTTAAGTTTAAAAATTCTAAAGCGAATTTCGAAAATCTCTTCGTATTGCACATCTTCAGGACCTAGAATAATTATGTGCCAAGTTTGATACTTATGAGTTGCTTAGTTTGGGCTGTAGAGGTGAAAACACACACGCTTAATCTCTTCTTTATTAATATAGATTTAACAATTATAAGTTAAGAACAAGTTTCATAATTAACAGTGACCCATGGGCAAGTATTAACACTTATCTTGATATTTCGTACGGTTTATAATTAATTCCTTAACTGCCAATTAAAAGTTACGCGATTCGCTCCCCAATTCCACCGCTTACCACGTAGACGAGCGTATTTAGATGCTTTTTTGAGAGGGAGGAGAAAAGAAATAAATAAGCAAATACTCTGAAATAAGTAAATCTTTCGCAAACACTGTCAAAGTCCTTTTATTGCATTCCAAAGCCTTCTGAATAATTTTATGGATAGCCCTGCAAAGAAAAGATTGTACTTCGGAAAGACGTATATATACGCCCAGAAAATTAATGATTTGGCTGTGTGAGACGTTTATATACGTCGGTGGCACATAAGAGGTTAAAGTAGAATTGTAGCTTTAGTGTCAAAGTATAACATTATTGAATTCAAAACATTGTTATTGTATGGAGGGGGTTGCAATGAAAATGATGATTGAATAGTGGGTCGCGTGTATTGAGAGTTTGAGAAGCCCTGAATTAGGGTGTTGGATTATTGTATTTTTGTTTGTTACTTTTTACGTATTAACTAAATTTCATTATTTCAATAAAATAGTATAGAACAAAACAAATCACATTCTCAGAAATTAGGCCATCCCAGGTGGGATTCGAACCCACGATAATTTCGATTAGAAGTCCAACATGTTATCCATTGCGCTACAGGGACACAGCGGACAGTTTTCCTTTCTATGTATGCTGGTGTACCATTATTTTTGTGTTTCTTAATATTAATTCTTTTTTAATTAATGAATGAATTAATATTTTAAGAATCTGTACTAACATCCAGTGTCATCCACTAAAAGTTTAAAAAAAATTTTTTTTAAACTTCAATGGATCAATAGAAAAATTTTTATTAACGACTGGAAATTTAAACAAGATATATATATATATATATATATATATATATATATACATACAGAGAGTGTGAGAGGAAAAGAAGAAAAGAAAGTAATAGATAATACATTGAGATACTAATTTAAAGAAAGCATACAACAGCATTAAAAATTCCAAGCGAACAGAGAAAAATATCAAAAAGTAAAGATCTCAATTAAAGATCAAGAAAAATCCGTGATACTGATCAAAACCAGATAAAATGTATTCCAAGAAGACGTAGATAGATTGAAAATTCACCAAATACATTTTTATAGACAGAAGGCGGAGAAAATATCCGGTTTTGACACTTATCCATCATCCAGAAAGTGGAGAGAAACATATTTTAGGTGAAAGACAAGACCCTAAGGAATGTTCGACGCCAGAGTCTAATCTCAGTATAAGCCCAGATGTTTTTTATCGTCTACATAATTCTGACAGAAAAATAGCGGAAAATATTAATCATTCTTTAGTATTCCATTAATTTCATTTAGATTGATGGATATCATAGTTTTTGTGGATCCAAAAGATACATTGCCAATTGTGATACATTTGTTGTTAAGATCGATGCTATTCCCTTGGAAAAAGGAGAAAAAATGCATTCAGCCTAGTTATGAAATAAGATTAAATGTCCACAAAGAAGTACGTGACAACAATTTATAATATTTCTGCTAAGTTTTTTTTTAAATAATTTCAATTGAAATCAAAAGACAATGCTCACAATTCAAACCTATTTGTTCCCAACAAGGATAATATTCTAATTATCAGAAGGAAATATTAATCAGAAATAATAAAATAGAAATGATAGTAATAAAATAGTTTAAATGCATAAATTTCCTAATTAAAATTGTATCAAAAACCATGACAACCTTTTTAGTGTGATATATATCTCATTAGATTACTGGATGGAAAATGATTAAGTAATTTATATTTAATATATTTTATCTATATATAAAACTTCAAATGTTAAGTGCACCTAGTATGGATTACTTAATTAAGTTATTTTCATTCTAGTTTCCCAAAGTTTCTCTTTGGTTGGTGAGAGGAAATTCTATAAAGCAACAGTATTTTTAAAGATTTGGTGCGTTTCAGTCTTGAAAAAACCCTGCAAGAAAAATGGAATGAAAATAAATTACCTATAACTCCATTTCAAACACTTACACAGTATATTAATAAATATATGTCTTTCTTCTTCTATTTATTTTTCATTTTTTATACATCATATATATTATTATATTTTCTAAAAAGTTCACTAAAAACTGTCGAAATAACTAAACAGAAATGCCTTCTATTTGCATTATCCGGCTTATAGTATCTATCTTTTACATCTATAACAACGCGTATCAGATCTTCATTGTTCTATTCCTGTGACTAAGATTTCAAGAATTTTTATTTCTCAATTTAGGGACCTGCATTTACGCTCTCCCTTAGAATTTACTTTTATATCAACACAACATTGGTAACATTTATAACATTGTTCGAAAGAAAAATGCATTTTTCTACATGTTTACTCGACGTAAAACTAATAAAATAAGTCAACTCTAAAAACCTTTTTAATAAACCTCTTTTTCAGAAAAAAATTAATAACATTTTCTTGTGAATGTATTTCGATAAAGTTTAAAAGAGCTTTCAAATATCATGAGCTTAAATGTATTCATTATCATAAAGCGCCATCAATTAATTCTCGTAATCACTTGTAATAGAAAATTGATGAAATAAAGTAATAAGCCTTTTTAATGAAGAATTGAAATTTTATTCAGAGATTCATCGGTAAAAATGAAACATTTTAAGGAATATTATACCTAAAGTGTACATGTGATATCAATAACAGATAAATTAATAAACTTGGGATTATAAGAAATTTGAAAGAAAAAATTGCTAAATTTGCAATATTTTTAACTTTGGAGCATAATTTGAAAGGCTGTATATCCCAGTTTTTCTCAAACTGGAGGGCGTGACAACTCTACAAGGGGGGCGCGAGCTTATTGAAAAGTCGAAAGCAAAATATTATTTAAAAACATTATTAAATTGCTGAAAGTAAGCAAACAAAATACATTCTACATGGTAAAAAAGAATACACATTTACATTGCTATATTACCCTTATAATAGCATCAATGCTACATAATATATTTTGTAATTAATTTAACAATACTAATTTAAGAAGAAGTTAAAAGAAACTAGGGACCTCCATCCGTTTGTCATATATAAAACTGTATTCAAAAATTAACACTTATATTGATAATTTGTACGGTTTCAAATGATTCCCTTAAATGCCGATTAAAAGCTGTGTGATTAACTTCCCAATGCCAACCATTTTCCTCGTATCTGCGCGCGAATGTGATGTAATGGGAGGAGGGAGAAATAAAAAAGCAAAAATAATCCGAAATTAGTAAACACTTCGCAATCATTGTCAAGGTCCTCTTATTGCATTCCAAAACCTTCAGAATAATTTTATGGATATCAGAGCCCAAAAAAAATCGAACTTCGGAAAAAGGTATATGTACGTTCGGCGAAATTTACGCTTCGGCTGAGCAAGATTTTTATACACGCCGGTAACACTTAAGAGGTTAAAGTCGCATTGTAGTTTTAGTGTCAAAGTATAGTAATACTGAATTTAATACATTTTTATTGTATGAGGGGGAATGATGAAAATTATGATTCAATATTGGGTCGCGAATATAGACACTTTGAGAAGCACTGGTATATCCTATTAAAAATTTAAATAATTTATTAACTGTGTTCCTGTGTCTCTTTATAGTTACATTTCCTACCACTAAATAGATTTTTCACTTTTCATTCAAAATCAAGAGGACAATTCTGAACTAGTATTCACTTTCTTGACTTCTCCACTTAATTTCAATATTTGTGCTTTTAAATGATATAACACAGGGGTAGGCAAAAAGCGGCCCTTAAAAGAGTTTTTTGTAGCCCACCAAGACAGTCTGAAACTCAAATATAGAAAATTGTTCTCTTTATTTAGGTCAACATATATTTCTGAGCAAAGTGTTTTTTTTTTAAATGAAGACGGACAAGAGTCAAAATAGAAGCAAGTTCTCTAAAATTAACTTGCAGGCTGTGATAAGAATTTCTACAAGCAATCTCACTCCTAATTAAGAAAAATCTAAAAAAAAATTTTAATACAGAGTGTTTGTCTCATTAAAATGCTTCTAAAATTAAATGTGTTTACAGATATAGATATGAAATTAGCATAATAAATAGATTGAATAAAAGTGAACTACTTTATTTAACTTACTTTTTGTTGATTTTCATGGTACAACTTATATCGTACCTTTTCTTAGATGCAAGAGTAACTATTGAAAATAATAATTTTTAACCCACGATCACTCACGCGGGGTGTTCTGTACACCCCAGCAACAGGAAAAGCCTCGTAGGATTCTAAAAAGAATGCGCAGAACCGCGATTTTTTCTGTAGCTGCACATTTTAGGTTATTGAATCTTCAGTTCTGATGCAATCAATCTCGCTAGCACGATTGGAATGGAACGACCTTCAAAAGTTTATCTGGGATGCTGAGTACACCCCGCGAGTGATTCAGTTATATATTCGTACTCGAAGGATCTACGGAAAGGTACGTAGTACTCTTTCCGTTTACATTTTTTTTCAAATATATTAATATGCATGCATATTTTATTTGAATTTTCAGTAATTGTAGCATAAAAATAATACAATTCTATAAAATAATTGTAAAATATATAGATATTTTTTAAATTTTCAAATCATTTTCCAGAAATTATGACAAAAACCCCATGGGAAAGGGAGAAACAGTAACTTCGTCGTCTATTAGATACTGTATCAACAGATTATCAAGATGAACTAAATGAATTCCATGACTGTTTAATTTCGGAACTAAAGTTGGAGAGATGAAACTTGAAATTATAAATTTTTACAATACAGGTGGTGTTGATATCACTGATGAAATGGGAAGTATATATGATATATCACGAATATGTAACCGTTGGTTATTGTAAATATTTTATCTATTACTTAATACTGCAGGAATTAATACTTCCATTGCCTATCATTCGGTTCTTCCTGAAAAAAAGTGTGGCTTTCAAGATTCTTAGAGGAGATTAGAATGAATCTTGTGCAGCCACAGTGGGATATGAGATCGGAATTCACAAACCTTAACAAAACACTCAAAAGAAGCTTTACTGACAAATAAGATATTAAAAGAGCATTAATCCACCAAAATAGGGGAGCTGCACTGTTTGTCAACTGGTAAACGATGCATTTTTTTTTTTTTTTGTTTCGAATGTAAGAAAAATATGTGCTTAAAGCATATGAACCAATCTGCTGTGAATGTATCAAGAATGATTAAAATATTATTTTTCTACTTTTTATTACTATCCTTATAAATAATTATAAAGTATATTATATTACTGGTATATACATTTTACTTGTGGTCTATGAAAAATTATAAAAGTGTGTACTTTAAAATGAAAATAATTCTGTAGGTTTAGTTTAAATTAATGTTTTTTTCCAATTTGTATGCAATAATTTTATTCATATAATACAAAAAACATCTTGTACTTCATAAATATGTATCATAATTGACTTATTTTTTTTTCATATTTAAATGCACCTGTTAAGAGTTTGGGGTGTTCTCTACACCACGAGAGTAACGACGGTAGCAAAATCAGGCGCGAGTGTCCGCGGGTTAAAAAGGTGTAGCTCTCCGGTACTCTCCGGTGCACTGATGGCCAACGTGCCAAAATAATTGCTCACGAACTCCTGATGTAACAGATAGTGATTACATATCATTTACCTACACTCAATA